GACCAGCGTGAAGCAAAACGCCAAAGAGACCCTCAATCAATTTCTGAAAAGATGGAGGGATGAAACTTTGGCGGTGGGAAGCATGACGGATGATACCACCATTACCCTATTCACGAATGCTCTCCGAACGGGGGAGTTGTACAAGGAATTAAAGAAAAATCCGGGTACAGTCTACGCCGAGGTATTAGACAGGGCTCGCAAGCATGCCGCCCTAGAAGAGGAGATAATGATCAGGGATAAGGTCATTGCGCCTGCTGCCCCGATCAGAATGGCCGATCGGCCGGGTCCTAGCCCAGCGGCCGTTATACCTCCCAAGCAAGGGAGATTTACTCCCCTGGTCCTATCAGTAGGCCATTTATCAGCACGAGAGGGACAATATTCCCCTCCCGACTGATTCTGGACAGTTTATGGGAGCGGACGACAATGCTTTCTGTAAATATCACAACAGGAAGGGTCATGCCACCAATGCCTGCAGGGCCCTACAAACAGCCATTGAGGATTTGATCCGAAGGGGTCATCTGGGCAAGTATGTGAATAAAGATCCAAATGCTGTAGGCACGTTGAAACCGGTCAGGAAACCTAATAGCTGGCGCCGGGATGCCCAACGTGATGCCCAACCTCAAAATGACGTATATGTTCCCCCCAGGGATGAACCAGAGGGCTCGGGAGGCCCTGGAAAGAAACCTCGAATGGAGGTCAAGGTTATATTCGGGGGCGGGGAAACAGGGGATTCGAACGCCGAACGGAAAAGGTTCGAGCGAAGTCTTTATGTGGGATCCGTCTCCGCTCCCCCCAGAAGAAAGGAAGGACGGACCCGATCACGTTCGGGCCAGCTCATTTACCCAACTCTCCAAGCCCGCACAGGGATGAACTGGTGGTAAGCATGTGTATTGACAATGCTTTGATCCGCCGAGTACTGGTCGATACCGGGAGCAGTGTGAATGTATTGTATCTACAATCCTTCGAAAAAATGGGTCTACAAAGAAGCCAACTGACCCACCTACGGACTCCACTGGCAAGTTTCACCGGTAATTGCATTGAGGCTGAGGGTACCATCCAATTGATGGTTGAAATTGGGGATGAAACACACAAAGCGTCTATCCGAATGACGTTCGTGGTGGTGGATATAAAGTGTGCCCACAATGCCATATTGGGCCGACCGGGATTGGAAGATCTGGAGGCAATAGCCTCTGTCCGCCACTCATGCATCAAATTCCCTACAGACACTGGGGTTGGGGTGGCCAGAACTGATCCGACGACAGCCCGGACATGTTATCGGGAGGCCCTGAAACAGATGAACACTCGTGGGATGCGGGTTAATACAATTGAGGTGGAAACCCACTGAACGGAGTTCGAGGTACACCCAGAGCCCGCCACCCTTCTTGAACAAATCGACCTGGATTCCCCCCCGAACCGTAAGGTAGCTATCGGGGTAGACCTGGAGGCTGACCTCCGGGATGGCGTGATTGCCGTCCTAAAAAAGTTTCAGGTACTGTTTGCCCGGGGGCCAGAAGATATGCCCGGTATTGATCCGGAGATAATATGTCACAAACTTGTCGTTCGGCCTGATGCAAAACCAGTCCAGCAGAAGAAACGATATCAGGCAACCGAACGGCGGGAATTCACAAAGCGGGAGGTGGCCACCTTGCTGAAAATAAAGCACATCCGTCCAGTAATCCACGTAGAATGGCTATCAAATGTGGTTCTGGCCCCAAAACAATCTACTTGGAGAATGTGCGTGGATTACTCTGACCTGAATAAGGCTTGTCCCATGGATCCCTATCCAGTGCCGAGGATCGATCTGCTAGTAGATGAAACTGCCGGATGTGAATTGCTGAGCTTCATGGATGCTTTCCGGGGTTACCATCAGATATTCATGCACCCGGCTGATGCAGAGAAAACGGCGTTCGTTACTTCGGATGGTGTGTTTTGCTATATCGTCATGCCATTCGGATTAAAGAACGCAATGACAACTTTTCAAAGGATGATCGGGATCCTGATCAAAAGCAAGAAGAAGGAAAACCATGTCCTGGACATAGAAAAGGTGTTTGGGATAATGCAGAAAGCAAACATGAGGCTGAATCCCAAAAAATGTGCTTTTGCTGTAAGAGGGAGCAAATTTTTGGGATACATGATGAGCGAGAAGGGGATTGAGCCCAACCCTGAAAAAGTAAAGGCAATTGTGGATATGGAGGCTCCAAGAAATCTCAAAGAAGTGCAGAGATTGACCGTCCGGTTAGCAGCCCTGAGCAGATTCCTGTCCAAACTGGCCGATCGAGCTATTCCGTTCTTCCAGATCATGAAGAAAGCCAACCCCTTTGAATGGACGGCCGAATGCCAAACGGCCTTTGAAGATTTCAAGACGTATCTGTCTTCCTCCCTGGTCTTGACAAAACCCGAACCAGGGGAACATCTGTATATGTACCTAGCTGTAGCTGACCTGGCCGTGAGCACAGTACTGTTGAAAGAAGAAGATGGCGTTCAACGGCCAATCTATTTTGTAAGCAAGGCTTTGAACGGCCCGGAAACCAGGTACACCTTGCTAGAGAAAACTGTACTGGCCCTAATAGCTGCCATTAAACGCCTGACACCATATTTCCAGACCCACCCGGTAACTGTGTATACTACTCAGCCGCTGGCCACCATCTTGAGAAATCCTATGGCAAGTGGACGCATTACCAAGTGGAGCCTCCTGATCGGGCAATATGAGGTGGATTTCAAGCTTCGACCTACTATCAAAGGACAGGCCTTGGCAGATTTCATTGCAGAATGTACCGCCCGGCCCTCAGAAACAGACTCAGAGAACAATGGGCTGGATAACTGGTGGGAAATGTATGTGGATGGTGCAGCTAGTGCCAAGGGTTGTGGAGCTGGAGCTGTGATTACATCGCCCGAGGGGTTCAAAGCATATTATTCTATCCATTTTGACTTCAAGGTAACCAACAACGAGGCTGAATATGAGGCTCTCATTGCTGGTTTAAAATATGCAAAGGCCCTGGGTGCCGATCGGTTAAAAGTCCGGTCGGATAGTCAATTGGTAGTACATCAAGTAAACGGCACTGCTGAGGCCAAGGAAGAGAGAATGAAGGCCTACAAGGAGATAGTGGAGGAGCAGATAAGTAAATTTGAACAAGTGGTGCTTGACCAAATATCCAGGATTGAAAATACTGAAGCATATATCCTATCCAAGTTAGAAAATGCAGCGTTCGACGATCGGGCACAGGAGATCCCGGCTCATATCCAACGTTTTGCCCATCGGGAAACATTGGCGACCCCAGCAATCCTGGTGCTCCAGATCGAGGCCATATCTTATGCCATCCCGAGCTGGGTCATAGATATGACCAACTACCTGAAAGACGGGACCCTCCCACAAGATAAAAATCCTGCTTATCAGATAAAATGCATCCAGAGGAGGGCTTCCATGTTCGAATTGGTGGACGAGCAGCTGTACAAAAAGACATTTGGTGGGCCGTATCTGAAATGCCTCCCACCCGATCTAGCGGCGGCTGTAATGGAAGAAATTCATGAAGGTATCTGTTCCAGCCACCAAGGGCCCAAGACACTGGCCAGAAAAATCATCCTACAAGGGTATTATTGGCCGACTATCCAACAGGACTGCTTTGCACATACTAGGAAATGTAAGGTATGCCAACTGTACGCACCGGTCCCCGGATGGCCTGCCACTTTCTACACTCCAATGACGGTGGCCCTTCCGTTCGCAAGGTGGGGGATAGACCTGTTAGGTCCTCTACCTACGGCCCCTGGAAACAACAAGTATATCATCGTGGGGATAGATTACTTTACTAAATGGGTAGAGGCCGAGCCAATGGCCAGCATCACAGATGTTAAGTGTCAAAAGTTTGTCTGGAAGAATATCATTTGCCGTTTCGGAATTCCTGAGCAGATCGTGACGGATAATGGAAGGCAGTTCGTGAGCCGGAATTTTGAGAATTACCTGGTCAAATGGGGAATCAAGCATTCCAGAGCATCCGTGGCGTACCCTCAGGCGAATGGCCAAGTAGAGAATATGAACCGTACTATCATGGATGGTATGAAGAAAAAGTTGGAAGAATACTCATCATCGTGGCCTGATCAGTTAAACTATATCCTATGGACTTACAGGACCACACCCCGAACGGCCACGGGAGAAACTCCATTTGCCCTCACCTATGGTTTCCAGGCCAAAGTACCAACGGAGATCCTAGTTCCCACACACCGAACGGTGCATTACAGCCCAGAACAGAATGAGGACAACTTACGGGCCGAATTGCATTTCATAGAAGAAAGAAGGGATCTGGCAGCGGCACGAATGGAAGAGTATCACAGAGCCACAAGAAGATATTTTGATAAGCAAGTTAAAGTTCGTTCAATCGAGGTAGGGGACCTGGTGCTAAGGAAGCGAGAAAAAAGCAAACCGCTCGAAGGTGGAAAAATGGCACAAAATTGGGAAGGCCCCTACCAAATATGTAAGAAGTATGCTTCAAGAACGTTTGGCCTACAAAATACCGAAGGCCGACCGGCAGGTACTTGGAACGTGGAACATCTAAGGAAATTTTATCAGTAGAAACGGCTGTTGCCACCTCTAAAAAAAATGTATAGAGAGAGAGACATAACTTCCACATAAACACAACCCATGATTAACACAATCATTCTGGATGACCGAATGAGGAACGGGTTAACAACATGGAAGGAAAATCAATTCTCAGCTAAGGGAGTTTTTGACCCTAGATTTATGAAGGAATAAAGGGATCAAAAACGGCTTGAAGAATTGAGGCTCAGAAAATCGGTGCCCGTGGTTAACACGATCATTCCGGATGACCGAATGACGAACGCGTTAACAGCATGGAAGGAAAGTCATTCTCAGCCAACGGCTTGGAGTTTGACACTCAGATAGTCTCACCTCAGCGGTTAATATGAGAATCGTTCTGGAGAACCGAATGATGAACATATTAGCAGTTTGGAGGGAGCCATTATTTCAGCAAGAGTTTTGACCCTGTAATTACGCATTGATGAAGGGATCAAAATGGCCTGGAGTTCGAGGACAGTGATTCTCACCTCAGCTTGTTAACGCGTGGAATCATTCTGGATGACCGAATGACGAACGAGTTAACAGTTTGGAGGGAGCTGAGTCGTCAACTTAGCCAAAGTCGACCCTGTAATTACGTACGGGCAAAGGGATCAAAACTGCTTGGAGATGGTGTCAAGACTGTAAGATATGGATTAACCGAGCGACGTTCGGATAAGGTACTGATTGTCGCCCAGGGAATCAGAACTATGGTTTTGAAAAAGCTCGCCTCAGTCATGAACTTGATTCGGAAGCGAGTCGCCCTTTTAGCTATAAGTAAGGAATGACCCAATTCGGTGATCTTGCTTACAGTTCGAAAAGGGTTACCTCAGACCCCTAATATGGATGATACGAGCCAGAGAGAATAGTTTGGAATGCATCGGAATTATGGGTTTGGAAGGGAGATAGTCTCACCTCAGCTTGTTAACGCGTGGAATCATTCTGGATGACCGAATGACGAACGGGTTAACAGTTTGGAGGGAGCCCCTGTCCCAGCTGAGAGTTTGACCCTGTGGTCACGATCAAAACGGCTTGGAGGAATTCACCTCAGCTAAGAGTTTTGAACCCGTGCATCACGAACGGAAAAGGGATCAAAACGGGCTTGGGAAAGGTGTCAGAACAATTGTGAAGGGATAGCCTCACCTCAGCTTGTTAACACATGGGATCATTCCGGATGACCGAATGACGAACGGGTTAACAGTTTGGAGGGAGCCCCTGTCCCAGCTGAGAGTTTTACCCTGTGGTCACGATAAAAACGGCTTGGAGGAATTCACCTCGGCTAAGAGTTTTGAACCCGTGCGTCACGAACGGAAAAGGGATCAAAACGGGCTCGGGAAAGGTGTCAGACATTAAGATACATGAGCCGAGTGATGTTCGGCCAGATAGAAAGGTTTGTGAACGAAAAATCAAAGGAAAAATAGAAAAAAGACATCAACAGATAAAGAGAGAAGTCTAGTTTATTCTTCGGCATTACTAGCCGGAATATACAAGAAGAACAAAGGATAAAAAAGCAAAAATTACAAGTCTATGCTATTGAAGGATTGCCGTTCGGGGAAGGTGAAGGTTGAGAGCTCCCTTCCTGCACTGCATCACCAGGCGCTGCTTTGGACCTTTTCTCCATGATACGGTCATATGTATTCCCGAACAGGTCGTCAAAGCCTAATTCGTCAGGATCAAACGACTTGGGGAAATGCTCTAGGATCAAGTCAAGGTTCCTATCCAGAAGCAGGTCCTGACTTTGCTTCACAGTTTTCTCGGTCAGGTCATCCAAGAAAGATTTCCCTTCCGGGGTGCTGTCCAGGAGATCGATCCCTGCCTTGATGGGATCTTCGCTTTCACGTAAGAATTGACCAAGGTGAGGACCCAGGAACTGCCGAGCCGTGTTCTCCAGAGCGACGTTCAGCCCCTTGCCCCGTTGAAAATCCACTATCGATTGATGAGCAATCTGGGAAGTGTTGACCGTGTAAGGTTCGGGCAGATGGTCGCCAACAACTTTATCAAATTTGATCCCAGCAGATTCAGCAGCTCGCACCTTGGCCCGGAGTTCTTTAATCTCCCGGTCGCGACAACGGGATTTCTCCTGCATCTCAGCCAGAGCAGCTTTTGCCTTCTCACCCTCCTTGGCCTGCTCTTGGAGATCGGCCGCTAACTTCCGAGTGGCGGAAAGAAGGACCTGGCTGTCATCCCGATCGCTGGCCAGGGCCTTCATTTCCTTCTCGGCCGCAAGAAAGGCCTTGTGATAGTATACACCGGCCTGAAAACGAGATTACAATAAAAGTCAGATAAGGTAAAACATGAAGAATAGAAAGGCATGGATCGGAATGAGGTGTACCTTGAGTGCTTCCTGGTGACCTGCTTCGAAAAGATCCGACCAGTGGGTCAGGTTCGTGAAGCTCGGGGGAACCTTGATTGCAGTGTGACACCACATAGAAGATGGCATCAACCCGAACAGATACCTCCCTTCTGATCTGGGCCCCATGTTTGAAAATTCGACAAACATCCGATCATCGATCGGTGCATCAGAAAGAGCCGGAGTTGATGTTTTGACAGGCACCGATCTTTTGGGTTCAGCCTCCGGCCCGGTCAAGTCAACCACATGGTCGATCGGGATCAGTTGATCACCATCATTCCCCTTGCGTTTCTTCCGAATTTGCTCCGCAGAGGCACGATCGGCTATCATTTTCTCTTTGCCTTTACCAGAAGAGGCCGTCAGGGTAGCAGAAGAGATAGATCGCCGGACGGGTATGGGGGATATCACACCTACAAAAAAGAGGAATAAGAGATGAAAAGCTGAATTGTGAGAAGGAAGGACGATCGGGTTAGAACCCTACTATGCTTACCAATTCCGGCAGATAACATGTTAGAGGTAGTGACAAAACTCCGAAGACTTCGGGTTCCTCCCATCCGCAAAGATTCAGCTTGGGAGCGTAGAACGGCATCTACCCTGGGCTGAGAATCCCGAACGGGATAGGCGTTCCACCTATCCAGAAATGGTAGAGAATCACCTACCCGAACAAACAAGAAACGCTCCTCCCAATCAGCCGACGGAGTGAGATTCTCTGTGAACAGCTGACGATCAGAACGAGCTACCAGCTTTAGGTACCCGGTCGTCCAGTAAGGCTGATAGCAGTAATGGTGAAGGAACAGATCGACGCTTGGAGTGATCCTCAACTCATGGCACCGAATGATGAAGCCTGTCAGAATGCGGTAGGTGTTGGGCACGAACTGAGCGGGTAGTACAGCAACCCGGCGTAAGAAATCCACGATGAACAAATGGAGAGGGAAGCGAAGCCCAGCAGTCAGAGCGTCGAGGTGCACTAGCACGTGCCCCGGTCGGTGCCTCATCGGGTCCCGAATGAATCCAGCATAGTATTCCCTTGGTGGGGGCAATAACTGGCTAAGTTGTCGTTTGATATCTTCTGGGAGGCGTTGTTTTTGTTTGCGGATACGAGTGAAGTGTAGGGGAATGCGGGGTGGCCGCTCGGGCATCCCCTTGTTATAGACCTGGACGTCATCACCTGATAGGCATCCATCATCTTGTGGCTGTTCGGTGTGTTTGCCTGTCTGAGGATTGGCGGGTTTAGGTGTTTGGGAAGAAGAGCCTCCGGCTTTGTTACCAGCGGATGTTTTACTTGTGCGAATCAACGGCATCTCTTCAGATTCTGAGCTAGAGGGGTAATACATAAAAACACTGGAGAAATTCTGGGAATTCTAGAGAGAGAAGGCTTGAAAGTACGCAAGAGAATCTTGGGAATTCTAGAGAGAGAAAGCTCGAAAGAAAAGTGAGAAAACAACAGGAGAAATTAGGGGAAGCACCTCTCTATAAATAGGGAAAGTGCCGCACAAATCCCTAATCCATGAGCAACATGTGGCATTAAATGGTTACGATTAATCTAGGGCATTTATGGTTCATTTTTGTGCACGTACCCCGAACGGGCTTACAGAGGAACAGTAAAGGTCACAGGGGAATGGCTAAAATCTAGTTAGATCATCGATTACCGAATGACATACGGGCTTGCAGAGGATTAGCAAAGATCACAGGGACTTGCTGGTTAGAAAAACCAAGAAAACGGCTAAGTCCTAAAAATTGATCTGAAGCCCGACCGACTATCAACGTCGTAAAAGGTTATCTGAAATCAAATGTGCCAAGTCCTAAAAATTGATCTGAAACCCGAACGGCTACCAACATACGAAGAAAACCAAGAAAATGGCTAAGTCCTAAGAATTGATCTGAAGCCCGACCGGTTATTAACGTTGTAAAAGATTATCTGAGACCAGAATGTGCTAAGTCCTAAAAAATGATCTGAAGCCCGAATGGCTAAGTCCCAGAAAGAAGGGAATTTTTCCTTGATAAATTATCAGAACCCTCCAATGCCCGAACGACATTAGGAGTATTAAGTAGAAAATAAAGTCAGAAAATTGATTGTCCTACAAAACGGGCCGAATCCCGAGTGGTGAGCAAACATTCAATAAACACAAAAAAGACAGTATGAGGTGTTTTGTGTAAAATAAAAAAGATCTGTATTCATCGGTTCTACTGACAGGGAAGTACAAGCTACTTGGAGAAAGGAGAATTACAATGATTAATTAAAAAGTAAGCATATAGATTATTGGCTAGGGGCCATTTCCTCTCCATCTTCATCTTCGTCTTCGTCATCATCAGACGGGGGTTCAGGCTCTCTCCCAGCAGCCCGATCAGCTTCCCGTTGCTGACCTCGCTGAAATTTCTCAATTTGAGCTTGTATAATGTCATCCTGGGGAAGATCAGAAGCCTGAACTGGCCTTCCAAGATTGTTTTGAAGTTGAGCGACGAAGGGACGCAGCAGGACCTGGCCGATCTTGGCATAAAGATCTGTAACGATGGAGTCATTCCATTTCTTGGCCTCAGGATCCTTGTCCAAAAGAGCCACCCCTGCCGAGAGCCGACCAACACCTTTAGGAAAACCCTCCAGGTACGCTCCAAAGGCGAACGGGATTTGGGTCCTTGCGTGATCGTCCTTGATGATGGAGAATTCATCAGAGGATTTAAATGTTTCCCGGACAGCGGATAGGTCCACATTCACTTCATAGGGGCTGTCCGGGATACTGGAAGGCATCTCCTCAAACTTGATCTGTGCGGCCTCGGCAGCAATGACCTTTGCTTGGGAAGCAGCAAGTTGGACCCGAAGGGTACCAAGCTCAGCGTCCAGCCTTTGTTTTTCCTCCGCAAAAGCCTTCCGTTCGGCTTCCAGGGAGGTAATGGCGGCAGCGGCGGTTTGCTCAGCAGAAGATTGAGCAACAATTAGTTCCCGTTCCTTGGCCAGGCGGGCTTCCCGCATTTGCAGGGTGTACAAATCCATCTACAAAGCACCGTTCAAGAGTTAGTACTGATTACAGAGAATAAAATAAAAACAGAGTGCAAAAGATAATATACCTTCAGAGCGGTCAAGGCCAAGCATTCTTCAGATTGCTCGACCGGCAACTGGGGAAGGGAGAAATTGTTAAACCATGAGGATGTCGACCAGATCTGGCTCGCAGTAGAACCAGTCCTTTCTAACACCTCGTGAACAGGATCCGATAAAGAGATCCGCTCGACCTGGCCAGTAATATGGTCGGTATGAGTCCCACATACGTTCGAGGGTTCCCCCTGAACGGAGTCGAAGTGTTGGGAGACCTGATGCAGTTGATCAGAACCGAAGCGGTCATCGATCATCATAGCGTCAAAATGATCCTGACCGGAGAATTGCTGGATAGGCTCCGATTGCTGAATGGTCGGTGCCGGTTCGGATTAAGGAGCAGCAGTGGTGGGTGAATCAACTTTTGGATTCCTCTTCATCTTCTTCTTCCTCTTCCCGATCCCACCGGCAAGGAGCACACGGCTGTCATCCATAGTAGCGTCTGGATTGGGAACTGAAAAATGACAAAGGGAAATGTTAGTACCGAGCGGCCTTTAGCATGAGAGAAACTAGTAACAAAAAAGGAACGTTTCTCGCACGGGAAGGACCGCCCGGACTATGGCACTTGATTCTCAAAACAAGTAAACCCAAGAGAACGGGCAATACCTATCCCGACTTTAACCAGCCGATTGGGAGTCAAGTAGGTCATGATATCACAATACTTGTCCTTCTCCACAGCAAGAACGTCCTTATAAATTTCCTCAGTGAGTACTGAGTCGGGAGTCTTGCGGGGAAAGGCGTTCCATTTATGAGGAATCAACCCGTCCGGGATAGACACGAAGAAAAATCTATCTTTCCATCCCTTGATCGAGGTCGAATTGCCTTTGAATAAGATGTGGCCCGTTCGGGAACTAGCAGCTAGGTACCCATGGGTTTGTTGAGGGGCTACTTTGAAAAATTGATGAAATAAGTCCAAGGTCGGCGAGGCACCGACATCTTTGCAACGACAGATAAAGCCCGCCATTGCCCGATAGGAGTTCGGCATGACTTGGGCAGGTACAATTTCATAAAAATTAAAAAATGAAATAAAAAAGGGGTGTAACGGAAATTTGAGCCCAGCCCTCACTGAATCGAAATGGAGCACGGTCATCCCAGGGGCGTGACGTAGGGGATGAAGCCCAGCGTGCAATCGAAAGTCCACTGGGTCCGGGATTAGGGCCGGGATTTCGGCCCTATTATTGGCGGTCAATTTCTGCTGTCTTGCCCTAATTAAACCTAAGTCAAGGGAATGACGGGGAACATCTTTTGGCCGTCCAGCCGCCATTAAGGCCATTTCGTCCTCAGATTTTGTGCCATTAGAACTTTCACCGGAGGAAGATGAAGTGCTAGGAAGGTCCTCCGCCTCAGCCCTGGTATTTGTCGTCGTTTCAGTAGAACCACCGGCGAATGGGACTGTGATGACATCCACAATAGCAGCGTCACGGTCATCTCCATGAGAGGCCATCTCCGAATCAGAAGAATGCTGTTGAGGACTCATCTCGACCAAATCAGGAATGAAGTGAGGAAGCAAGGGAGGGAGAATACCTGAACGATGAAGGCTGCGAGAAATCTCAGAAATCAACAAGGCGCAGAGAATTGCAGAATCGAAACCCGGATTTGAGAAGTTAAAGGCTAATTTATAGCCTTGGAACCGCCGTATCAAGAACCAATCAGGGAGCGACACGTCACTAGGAGCATTTAAGCTAAACACGTGTCTAATGAAAAGACTAAACGACGGTTACCATGATGAATATGGGGAAATGAAGCGGCAGCCGTCAAATCGCAGCATGGGGAACTGATTACTTCTGTACCCCGATCGCCATTCGGAGTATTACGATATTGGTATTCATACTTCCTAATGCACTCATTGTTGTTCGAGACATCGGAAGTGGGGGACTTGTGTTGGGATATTGACCTAGAGGCCCAATACCCGGATCAAGAAAGCCCAAGATACCCGGCCCAAGCAATGGGCCCATCACTCTATGATAAGATAATCATGGTAGAATTAATGCCGAACGAGGTTCGACCCAAATAAGGGTTGGCCCAGTAAGAAGACATACCGAACGGCGTTCGGACTATATATTATACTTGGGCCAATTTGACAGCATCTTCAGCATAGCCCAACATTCCGTTCGAGCAACGGCCAACCGGCAAGTGGCCAGGTGCAATTAGTGCCAGATTGTGACATCAGCAAGTGGAAACATGGGTGGCCAAGTCGGTGGAACAACGGCCAATCAGCATGGGGCAGCCCATGCTCTCCATTAGTATAAATAGAAGGTTTTAAGTCATTGTAAGGGTTAGCATTTCAATACTCAGGCTCTAGAATAGCATCATTGCTCTTATTTCTTGTATTAAAGCATTGCTTCCGACCTACCGATCGGGAAATTCCTTGTAATCAGACTGGTTAGTTAATACAAGTGAGCTTTCGAGTATTAGTGAGTTTCATATTTTATATTTTGTTTATACACTTTGATTCTGTGCCATTCCTGATATATCCAAAGTTCGTGTTGGGCTTTCGGATCTACGGGATTTACTCTCAACAAGTAATATAATATATGTATTTATAAATAAATTAATATATAACTATATAAGTAGATAAGAAATATAAGTAATATAATATATGTATTTATAAGTAGATAAATAATATAAGTAGATACTCCCTCCGTTCCTTAAAGTTTGTCACACTTTCCCGAAACGGATGTCCCAAAATGTTTGTCCTACTTTTTCAACTTCCTTATTTGGTAAACAAATCGATACCAAACAGTGTCAAAAAGTGCCAAACAGTGTCGCTACAGTGTGAAACAGTGTCGCTACAGTATAAAGTCAAATTCATCTCCTTAAAACTGGTGAAGTCAAATTATGACAAACTTTGAGGGACGAAGGGAGTATATAATATATTGGAGAATAAGAGAATTTGAAAAGATTCTCTTATGGTTCGGGTCTGGTGAAGCCAGGCCCCCCTGGTTCGGGTCTACACCCGGTCCTGGACCGACAGACCGGGCCGGTTCCGGACCCGCACAGTAGCGGGCCGGGCCGGGTCACGGGCCGGGTGGCCCGAACCGAGTCCACCACTACATCAAAGTGTTTGAATTTTTAAATGATAATTATTGGTAAATAACAAATTGTCACATAATTGATGTGTGATAATAAAAGTAAGGATTTATACATTTATTTAAAAAAGCTGTGTTGAGTGAATATATTGACGGTGCTGGGTTGCAGAGAAAAAATGATTGACTGAGTGAATACGTATAAAATGCTGTCAAATTTGATTTATTGACGGAGTTGGGTTGCAGTTAGCCTCAAAGTTTGTTTTCAACATAGAGGAGGTTATTTTTCATAATTCACATGACCAAGGGGATTTTCTAGTGTAAATTACATCCTATAGCCGGCTGTACCGTGCGCACGGTACAACCTGGGCTTTTAGGCGTTCTCCGCTTCTTCCCTTCACACCAGCTCCGCACTAGACGTTCACACAGAATTTCGCAGACGTTTTTGCATCGGACTTCCCATCTCGCTTCTTCAATCTCGTTGGGCTTCTACGATCTGATTTCGCACCAGCAACTCTTCATCAAAGTTCACCACTAGCCCATCTTCTCCACCCCTTCTCATCCCTCTGTTTTTCTTTCCGGCGTAGTTGCCGGTGTAGTTTTTACTGTTTGAGCGTTTGATTTTAGGAGACAAGGGGAGTCTACTTCTTTGCTGAGGAATCTTTGATGCCGTTAATCTCAAATGAGGTTTACATTAAACTTAAATTAGTATACGCCTAAAAGCAATGAACATATTAATATTGAACATATTAAAAATGAGTTTTATATTAAGATCTAATGAGTACAACGTTCAAACTGAATGAGCATACACAAATGCGTTTTTTAATTTTTTGATACCCTTTTTCTAAGGTATAAATGCTCATTTGGTACCGATTTATGCTCATTTAAAATGTTGCACATTTCAAATTTATACTGAAAAATAATAAAACAAAAGTGAATCGGAAGATAGAGAGCAAAGAACACTCATGCTCATTAGTAGGCTCATAAAACTAAAAAAAGAGACCTGATGCTACCAAAATTGCATCAATGCTCATTTAAGAGAATCTGTGTTTTTCATCAAAATTACAAAATTGCCACCGGCTGTACGGCTGGCACCGTACAACCGGCAGTATAGTATACGCTTCCATTTTCTAGGGTGCTTTTAATAGCTTCTAGATTTTTTTGTAAATATCTTCAATTTTGAGGATAATCTTAACCTAACTTATCTCCTTATCCCAACTTTAGCCCTCCCCTCCCCTCATCCCTTTGGTGCTGCAAAAGATTCCAACCTTTCTACTTCTCATGTTCTCCATCGTCATCCTCACTCCAATTCTTCCACCAACATAGGCGAGTAAGCGTGTTCTCCCTCTTGTCCTTGGTGTTGCAGTGGACAACAGTCATGCCATATCCGGGGATAATATGGCGGTAATGAGAGCATGCCCTCCTGACGACGCCCCTCGTCACCATTTGGATTTGAGGCCCATCCGGAAATGAAGACAAAAGCTGTCCAACAAACTTAGGGCCCAAGTTCTTGCTCTTATTCCTGACCCGATTGATTTCCGCCTTCACGCTGGTCTCCATCCCTCGCGCCACCGCCCTGGAATGATGGTGGTGCACTTCGATTCTGTTAAGGTTGGGCTAAGATTTCCGCTGCATCCTTTCTTCATGGCCTTTTTCAACCACTACAAAATAGTCCCTGTCCAAGTAATGCCGAATTCCTATCGGGTCATAGTCGGGTTCGTCTACCGCTGCAAGGATGTTCACGTGGTGCCCGTTCTGGATCTCTTCCATCACTTTTACAAAGTTGCCACCCAACAAACTGATGGATTCCTAACAGTAAGTGCCCAAATGAAACGGATCTGTTTCAAGGGGAACCTTACTTCCATCAAGGGATGGAAACACCGTTTTTTCTTTGTCTCTGTCCCGGATGACCTTATCCCTAAGAGGTGGAATGCCTACCCACCAAAATCCACCGAGCCCTTTGTCTCAGAGGAGTTGGAACAGAAGATCATTGCAGTAGAGAGGGCCGAGACGTTCGATATCATGGATTACTTGACTCCCGTTTGGCTCGTGGAGACCGGGATAGGTACCACCCGAATTCCTGGGACTCTTGACTGAAAACCAAGTGCCATGGCCTGGGCGTTCCTTCCCGTGCGAGAAAATTACATACTCAGGGTTTTAATCAGCAGGCCGGGGTGGATTTTTCTGAAACCTTTAGTCGTGTTGTCAAACCCACTACCGTGCGTCTATTACTTTCTCTTGCGACTACTTTCGGTTGGGGGGTGCGTCAGTTAGATGTCAAGAATGCCTTTTTACATGATTATTTGGCTGAGGAGGTCTATATGCGCCAACCTCCTGGATTTGTTCATCCCTCTTTTCCCCATCACATTTGTAGACTCCGTAAGGCACTGTATGGGCTCAAACACGCCCCTCGTGTCTGGTTTCATCAATTTAGTGGGTTTCTCCTCAGTCATGGTTTCGTGCAGAGTTGGTCTGATTCTTCTATGTTTATTTATCGCCGCAGCTCACATCGCATTTTTATTCTTTTGTATGTTGATGATATTCTGATCACAGGGAATTCACCTTCCCTCATTCAGTCTTGTATTGACCTACTTTCTCAGACTTTTGCCATGAAAGATCTGGGAGATATTCATTTTTTCTTGGGATTCAGACCGTGCCTACTCCTACAGGTATTTTTATCTTCCAACAAAAGTATATATCTGATCTCCTGCGGCGATTTCATCTTCACACCGTTACAGCAGTCCGTACACCCCTACCCTCTCGTACTACTTTGTCTCTCACTGATGGAGAATTACTAGCCGATGGTACTGAATATCGCAGTATGGTTGGCGCTTTACAGTACTTGATGATTACTAGACCAGATATTACCTATGTTGTTCACTTGGTCTCTCAGTTTATGCATGCCCCTCGTACTACTCACCTTTTGGCTGTGAAGCGTATTTACAGGTATTTGCAGTGCACTATTACCGAGGGGTTATGGTTACGCAAGGGAGGTGATCCCTCGCTTGTTGTTGCTTACTCTGATGCAGACTGGGCCGGTTGTCCTGATAGCTGTCGGTCCACCACTGGATACGCTATATTCTTGGGTGATAACTTAATTTCTTGGCGTTCCAAAAAGCAGCCCACTGTTTCCAAATCTTCCACTGAGGCAGAATATCGAGCTGTGGCTTATACTGTTCAGAATACTTTGTTTATTCGTTCTCTTCTTGTGGACATGGGCTACTTTATCTCCAAACCTGTTCGGCTTTATTGTGATAATGTTTCAGCATCTTACCTGGCGGTTAATCCCATTCACCATGATCGAAGCAAGCACATAAAGATTGATTACCATTTTGTTCGTGAGTGTGTTGGTCACAGTGATTTAGTTGTTAAATATATTCCTACACAGTTTCAGTTAGCTGATATATTTACTAAAAACTTGTCTAGTCAGCGTTTTAATTTTCTCAAGTCCAATCTGCGCGTGGTTCCCGCTGCACAGATTGAGGGGGTGTAATAGATTATACTGTAGGGATACTTTTGTAATTACTGATTCTTGGATTATTATATGTATACACATATGGCTACCGCTAGGGTAAGCCATTCTGTCATAATATTTCATACTTTCCTCCTTTGTTTCGGTGGTTCCACTCACCTGGCCAACCACCAGCTAGCTATCCAAACGGACTCTCAACCGTTCGACACCTAGCGCTTTGGCATACTTCAGACTTGCAATAAGGGCCTCATATTCGGCCTCATTATTAGTCACTTTAAAATCAAAATAGATAGAATAATATGCCTTAAACCCTTCAGGAGATGTGATGACAGCTCCACCCCCGCAGCCTTTAGTACTGGAAGCCCCATCCACATACATTTCCCACCAGTTGTCTGTGATATCACCGTTCGAGCATGTAACACCCCCATTTTCCCGCCCAAAATAATACTTGAAATAATAATAAATTGATAACAAACTTGATTTATTCGTTCAAAATAGATAGAGTTTTGCAGCGGAAATAATAATAATGGGAAATGGGTGTGTTACCGCCACACCCAGCCCTCAACTTGGCTGGATGCTAAGGCTATCCACCATGAGTTCAACCAAATTAAAAACTTAAATTCCAAATTTAATAACAGTATTTAATTTAAGTGAAGACCACTACACTTAAATCTTCTAAAGCGCTCTCAAGGCTTGTCAAACATCAAGAGCTTTATATTCATCATTACCTGCACAAATAAAGTGCAGAAAACAAAACAAAGAAAAGGAAACAAAAATTAGCTTTAGAGCTAAGTAAGTACTGCTCAACCCCGTAAAAGTATCAAGTTTGTCAAAAATAGTTTTTCATATAACACTATATAAAAAGAACTCACTCCCTCCGAGTAGTAAGAAGTCCAAGTAGTTCGAACAACGTCCCCCTACGTCATAATGAGTTAGATACCCAGGTAATTAGAAACTACTACCGCGGCCACCAAAGAACTTTTAAAGTTCTCAAAAGAAATATCGGTATTCACCCGCCACCAATATTTACCGGGATTTCCCCCGCTACCAATAATCAACTTAAACCTAAACTAAATCCGCGGTATATAGCTCTAACCACCAACACCTCATGTTTCTCTCGAGATGTCAATAATCATTATAAAAACATTATTCATTCTTGAAAAAAACATGTATCTCTATGGTCATCCAACGTATTCATTTAATAGATACATCCACAAAAAATTCACATTCTTAAATACTCCAAAATTCTTTTACATGAAAAGTCACTCCAAAGTCATACTAGGGATTAAATCCCAAAATATATCTTCAATATTTCTCAAATTCTTAGTCACCCCAAATAGTACACATTCAAAATTCACACTTAATCACATAATGCATAATAATCATATAATACGAGGAAACAATTTTGGATTGGCAGAGAAACTTACCTTAAGTCCTGATGCTCCTAATTCTCTTCTTCTATTCCGACCTCTAAATATTCACCTTTTTAATTAAGATGATATATGTAATTCGTCACTTATTCTATTTCAATAATTTATCCATTTTTCCTCTTTTATTTTATTATTCGAATTTATTAATTTAACTAATTAATTATTCGAATTAATCAGTTTTTACTAATCAAATCACCTTATTAATTCAGCCATTAATTACAATATTTGAATTCTATAATTAAGTAAAATATCCGAATATAATTAACTTCAACATCCAATTTTTTAATTTACTAATCACCATGAATTTACTCTACTCATAAAACATCCAAATTGTATTTTAATATTATTAAAACATATCCAAATTATAAATAATTAAATTATTCAATTTTTTCGAGGACGAACGTCGTCTCAAAGATGAACGTCTCTTCCTCTCAAGGACGAACGTCTGAAAGGCTAAATGTTCAGCAAAGCAGACCCAGCCTAAAGGCTTCGTGACTAAGAACGTCGTCTTCTCGTGAGGACGAACGTCGGAAACGGCTAAACGCTATGCAAGCAAACCCCTGCCTAAGGGCTTCCTCGTGAGGATGAACGTCGTCTAGCTCGTGAGGACGAATGTCTCCTTCTTTGTGAGGACGAAGACGTCGTCTTTCTCATGAGGACGAACGTCGCCTTCCTTGTAAGGACGAAGATGTTGTCTTTCCCGTGAAGAAGAACGTCTTCTTCTCCGTAAGGGGACGAACGTGGTCTTCCTCGTCAGGACGAAGACGTCGTCTTCCTCGTAAGGACGAACGTCTTCTCCCTCGAGAGATCGCCAGAAACGGCTAAACACAGGGGGGAGAGGTTACCTCGACGGATGCGTGAGAAGGCGGCGGCGGAGCACTCCTTCTCGGACGGTGAAGGTCAGAGATGGGTTGGCGTCGGCGGCAGCTCCTCCTTCTTCTCCTTTTGCCGTCGTGAAGGTTAGCCCGACGAAACTCCGGCGAGCGATTTCTCCCTACTCCGACGTTCGTTTTCAACGGTTCTTGTTTCGTTGGATTCCTCTAACGAAGGGGAAGGTTTTAGAAGTGTTTAAGCTCTGGGTTTTGGCTAAAACGAAGGGTTGAAAATTTGTGTATATATCCGCGTATATGTATATATTGATCGGCTCAGCTTGGGTATAAATATATAATTATATGAACGTATATATAGGTGTACGTTTGGTTCATAGGTTATTAGGCCAGCTCTTCTCTAGTATATACATGTGAATGTGTGTTGAAATACACAACTCCATGATGAGTGTACTCTTTGGCCTACCTACATAGTACTCCGTATATTATTATTGTGTACTCTTTGGCCTCTTCCAATTATAATTGTATACATGATAAGTGTGCGACCGTGCGCATGTGGGTTGGTTGCTCAGGGATCACAATGCAAGTAGGCTTGTGAATATGTGTAGTCCGCAAGATTCATTGCGTCATATGCTACCCATTTTATCACTAGGAACTACTTGTATTATTGCAAGTCCTTATGTGTGTTATTATTTTTATTATGTGTACTTCTTCTTTTTACTTTGTTATTTTTGTATGATATTTCATATATTTTTGTACACATATTATTAACTGATTAAAATTGTTACAGTGTCACTTTTACCATTTATGTCATTTGTATAATTATCACTTGTCACAAAAGTGTCACTTTTGTTATTTAAGTCAATGTCCTATCTAGTCAACATAATTATTACTCTCTCCGTCCCCCAATTAAGTTCCGGGTTTGACTTCACACGTATTAAGAAAATAAATTTGACTTTACTGTGGACTGCACTGTTTTGCACTGTTCAAAACCTGTTTGACACTGTTTGGCACTATTTTGCACTGTTTGATACTGTTTTGATGTAGATAATTTGCCAAATAAGGAAAGTAAAGAAGTATGAACTTAATTTAGGGACTGGCCCAAAAGGAAAGTGGTAACTTAATTGGGGGACGGAGGGAGTATAAAAATGTAATGTTTATTATTGAAACATTTTTATCTGATTAAAAATGTCACCGATGTTAAAATTTTATCTGATTCACTTAATTATTAAAAATGTCACTTTCATAACCTTTTATCTAGCTAATAAAATTATTTATTTTGTTTCAATGTTTTTGAGTGTCACAATCTACCCTCCTTAAAAGATGCTTCGTCCCGAAGCATAATATAAGAAAATATCCACCATACAATTAACAAGTGTCACGTGTTACTTAATAATAAATTCTTTTTATTAAACATAGGAGTGTCACAGAGCCATCCTCCGTAGGCCGAGCGGTGCACTCTGCAATGAAATCCACCAATGCCTGACCCTTGATGGTTGGTCGAGGCTTGAATTCTACATCATATTGTCCCATCAGGAGGGCCCATTTGGTTATGCGCCCACTGGCCATTGCATTCCTCAAAATGGTAGCAAGTGGCTGGGTGGTGAAGATTATGACTGGATGAGCTTGAAGGCGTTTGATAGCAGCTATCAGGGCCAGAATAGTTTTCTCCATCAAGGTGTACCTCGTTTCGGGGCCGTTCAGGGCCTTGCTGACAAAATAGATTGGCCGCTGAACCCCATCAGTCTCCTTCAATAGTACTGAGCTGATGACAAGATCGGCCACTGCAAGATACATGTATAAATGTTCCCCTGGATCAGCCTTTGTCAAGACCAGGGAAGAAGACAAATATGCTTTGAATTCCTCAAAGGATATTTGACATTCCGCAGTCCACGTGAACAAATTAGCCTTCTTCATAATCTGAAACAACGGGATCGCCCGACTGGCCAACTTAGAGAGGAATCTGCTCAAAGCAACTAACCGACCGGTCAACCTTTGCACTTCCTTCAGGTTCCTTGGGGCCTCCATGTCCATTATCGCTTTAACCTTATCTGGATTCGGCTCTATCCCTCGCTCGCTCATCATGTATCCCAAGAATTTGCTCCCTTAACTGCAAAGGCACATTTCTTGGGATTCAACCTCATGTTTGCTTTTTTCATGATCTCGAAAACTTTTTTCATGTCCCGAACATGATCCTCCTTCCTACTGCTCTTGATCAGGATGTCATCCACATATACCTTCATGGTTACCCCCAAAACTTCTCTGAACAACATACCGATCATTATTTGGAAAGTGGCCATGTCATTTTTCAGTCCGAACGACATCACAATGTAGCAGAACACACCGTCCGAGGTGACAAATGTTGTTTTCTCCGCATCATCCGGGTGCATAAAAATCTGGTGGTGCCCCCGAAAGGCATCCATGAAGCTTAACAATTTGCACCCCGCAGTTTCATCTACCAGCAGATCGATCCGGGGAACCGATAAGGGTCCATAGGACAAACTTTATTTAGGTCAGAATAATCGACACACATCCTCCAAGTCTATCCCTTTGGAGCGAGCACCACATTAGATAACCATTCCACACGGATAACCGGCCGAATTTGCTTGATCTTCAACAGGGTAACAACCCCTTGCTTAGTGAATTCTCACCGTTCGGCCGCCTGACACCTCTTCTTCCGTTGTACTATTTTGGTATTAGGCCGAACGGCCAGTTTGTGACAAATAATCTCCGGATCGATGCCCGACATATCCTCCAGCCATCGGGCGAATAGTACTTGGAATCTCTTCAGTACTGTGATCACTCCTTCTCGAATTTCTGGATCTAGATCTACTCCAATTGCCACCTTCCAATCGGAAGGTGAATCAAGTTCAATATGCTCCAACAAAGTGGCTGGCTTGGGGTGTGCTATGACATCCGTTCGTCAAGGTTCCACCTCGATGTTGTTAACCCGTATGCCACGGGTGTTAATTTTCTTCATTGCTTCCCGATAGCACGTTCGGGCTGTAGCTGGGTTTGTTCGGGCCACTCCAACTTCGGTGTCAGTTGGAAATTTGATGCAGGAGTGCTGAACTGAAGCGATTGCCTCCAAACCCTCCAACCCTGGTCGGCCCAATATGGCATTGTGGGTACATTATATATATACCACCACGAATGTCATATGCATTGCCGCCCAGTGTGCCTCATCTCCGATCTCGACCAGAATCGAAATGGTTCCTTCTGCATCGATATAGTTTCCAGTGAAACTTGCCAGCGGTGTCTTCAGTGGTGTCAGCTGGTCCCTTCTCAATTTCATTTTTTCAAACGTCTGTTAATACAGAACGTTTACACTACTCCCTGTATCTACCAACACTCGGCGAATGAGGGAGTTGCCAACACACATATTAATCACCAACTCGTCCCTGTGTAGATTTGGCGATGCAGGCATGTCCTTAGGACTGAACGTGGTTGGTTCAATCCTGGCCTTCTTTTGTGGTGGGTTGGAAATGGCTGTCACGAGCAGACTTGGCTCAAACCTTTTCCGGGTTCGGCCGTTGTGTCTCCGATTTCACTTCCACCAAAAATCACCTTGATCTCCAACCTGGGCTTCTTTCCCGGATTCCCCGACCCTTCAGCTTCATTGTTTGGTATGTGCAGATCATTCCTTGGTTCAGCGTCTCGCTGATCGTCCCTCCTCCATCTTTTGGACTTTTTGTACTACTGTTGAATGAGGCCTACAACGTTTGGGTCCTGATGGATAGTGTACCCGGGGGGTAGCTTATCCGAGGGGTTATTGCGAAGAATAACTAGGGAGAAGTCAGAGCAAGTAAGAGAGAGAAAGTGTATTGAATATGCACGTTAAGTCTTTTTTGCGTGGTTTACAATGGGGAAATGGGGTGCTATTTATAGTAGCAATAAATGCCAGACGGGGACACGTGTCAAGCATCCATTGGCCGAGGGGTCACCTCAACTGGTTGGCGCTGACAATCGCATGTGGCCGCATTTAATGCGGCTGTTGGATGTGACGTCGTACTTGGTACGGTGATCCATGCGCATATGGAGCGGATATTATGTCGGAAAAGGTGCCCTCGGCTGTAGATAATTAGCCGAGGGTTCTGAGCATCGGGGACCTCCTTAGCGCCGGGGGCTCTAAGTGCCGAGGGATACTGATTTTCGCCGTTTTCTCCCAGTAACTTTGTTTTCCTGATTTGACCCTCCTGTGAGAATTGGAGCCTTCGGCCAGGGGGCCGAAGGCACCCCTAGCGCGCACTGTGGGCCGCTTGGTACTCTGGGCACTGTGATTTTGGCCTGTTGTGCTTCCTGGGCCTATTGGGCCTTTATTGGAGTAGTAGGAGTCTGTTGACCGGGGTTTCCAGGCGATATACTCCATCAGGAGTCCCTCACTCCTTTTACCGAAAGGTACTTGAGGGAAAAGGAGTAATCTGTGTTTGTCCTCTGCCGTTGTTCCGTTGTAGTTTGTAGGGTTGTGATTAGTTTACCGTTTGTTTATTCTTCTGAGGGCAGTCCCTCAGTTACCCACATGTCGGGGCTTGAGGGGTCATGTTTTCTGTTTGCGAGATTTTTAGCATTTTGCACTTTTTGTGATTTTTCCCGAGGGGGTTCTCCAGTCTCCCACTCCTTGAGGCACTTGCAAAGTGGTGAAAAGGAGTAGAGTAATCATGTTGCTGTATTGGGCCGAAGGCTGACGCTTTTCGTTTCATTTTGGGGTGATGCCTTGTTAAAAACCTCATTAGGAAAAACCCTATGGGAAAAAATCCTAATGAGGGAAAAAGAGTGCACCGAATTCCCCCAACGATGAATCGGAAATGTGAAGCCCTGGTTTGAAATGGAGTACAATGCTGATGCCGAAGGCTATCCTTGTTCTGAGGGCGCATGTGTTGATTAGCCGGAGGCTTGCTGTTGATATCCTTGGAGGTGCCGAAAGGGAGTCTCTCAATCTGGGGATTGAGGGCGTGATGAATGTGAATAGTAGTTGAAGTGTTACCGGGGGGTCCCCTGTTCGTTGATCAGTTGGTGAGGAGGGTATCCGAGGGCTCCCGTTACCTGTGTGCCGTAGGCTATCCGTTAATGAGGTGTACTCCCCGGGGATTACCTGGTCCTCAAAGTATTGGGGGGGAATTCCCGAGGGGTGTGCCCGTTATGAAGCCGTGGGCTTCTGAAGGAGTGAGCCTGAAGGCATTTGTTATGTAGTGTGAGGGGCATAAACCGGGTGCATCTCTGGGTAGGTACACCCGGGGGCTCCTCTTGATGAAGTGGAGTGAAGTAAAAAGCTCGGGGTCTAGTTTCTTGGTTGATGAAGGAGTGGTCTATTGAATATAGCTGGGGGCTCCCAGAATATAGTCGTTGTAAATATAGCCGTTGGAATACCTATCGTCAAAATATAGCCATTGGGGGGCTTCCACGTGGTGCGTGCTCGTTGGCTGCCTGTGGGCGGGCGTCGCTGATTGGGCAGTTCGACGGTTCGTAATGATGGCTGTTCAACCGGAGGCCCGGTTTTGGGCCCAAGCCCGGATCTAGGCGCCTATAAATACCCCATGGTCGGGCATCACTTCTCTCTTGTGCGATCATTGTGTTAGCGGAGCTCTGCCAAAATTTCTAGAGAGAGAAATTCCTGCCCTCGATTCCAAGGTCAGTTCCCCACTCGTCCTTCTCCCTTCTTAGCTAGCTGTCTTAGTGGCCTTAGATTTAGGAGTTGCAACTTAGAACACTTAGTATTTCCGAGCCCTCGACCTAGTGGAAAGATGTCTTCTCAAAGTGATTCTCAGGACATATCGAGGGATCCCTTGATGGAAGAGGAGAGCTTCTCGGATGTGGGGTCCTCGAGCGAGCAACCCTCGGCCCAGGAGGATGTCGCGATGGTCATGGAGGTGCAGAAGGAGTTAGTGGCTGAAGTTGAAGCCGAGGGCTTTGAGCAAGAGGCGGAGGATGAAGAGCCCGCCCTCGTCGTACAAGTTGCAGAGGAGGAGGAAGAGAAGGAGAGGATGAGGGTGACAGTGGCTATCCTTCCCCCCCCCCCCCCCCCCCCCCCCCGCGGTTCTGGTGAGGCAGGGAGCTCTCGGCCCCTTAACCCGACGCCGATAAGAGTGGCCCCCGGGAATAAACAGGAGAAGAAGAAAGTTGCCCCCAAGAAGAAGGGCATTGCTGCCGATCAAGGAAAGCCCATCGACATGCCCGAGGGGTATTCCTGGCTGAATACCGCTGCCCTCGAGATAGGGTCGAAGGCTGACCGGGAAGATCTGTACGTCACTCAGCTGCACGTGGGGCCTTCGGGTGTGGTGGTGGCGCCAGGTCCTGATGATGTGCTCTCCCGGGCTCCCGAGGGATGCATTGTCGTGCACATCCTGTCGGTATCAATGGGGCTCCGGTTCCCCCTACACCCATTCCTTCGGGAATACCTTCGGTACGTGGGTTTGGTCCCCTGCCAATTGACGCCCAATAGCCACTGCTACGTGGCGGGCTTTCTGAACCTCTGCCGGGCCCGAGGGGTGACCCCCAGCCTGGACTTGTTTTTCCAGAGCTTCAACCTCTGCCAAGGGGGTCACGTGAATGCCGAGGGCTTCGCCAATCTGCAGCACATAGCTAGGTGGAAGCTATTTACAGAGGCGCCTTCGTCCAATAAAGGCTGGAAGGAGCGGTGGTGCTATGTCAGGGTTGCAGAGAGCCCATTCCCGAGGGAACTTCGGGATCGCTTCCGTCGGCATCCAAAGGTTGGCAATGCTGCTCTCGAGAAGGATGGCTTGATAATAGCTAAGATCCCGGAGGGTCGCACGAAACAAGTGTCCATTAAAGATTACACTGCTGACAAGGAACTATTCTCCCTCAGCTTCCGCAGATATCGCTTCCTCGGTGAGACAGACGAGAAGTATCCAGTGTTGGACAAGGCCCTCGAGGGAGCAGGAGGTAGTAGCCGAGGGCTCCCTATTTTGTACTTAGGATTTTTTTCCTCTTTATTTTTTTGCGCTTTCTTGCCCTTCGGTCTAACTGGTTTTTTTTTGTTGGCAGGTGTGAACATGGACGCCGGGAAGCTCTTTGCTTTGAAGAAAAAGAAGGGCAAGGCCCAAGCACAAAAGAAAGACCCCTCGGTCCAGCAACCTGTAGAGGCTTTCTTTCAGAAGGAGACCCCGGAGCCCTCTGCTGCGGAGGTAGTTACTGATGTGGCCGAGGGGGCCACAAAAAAAGAAAAAGGACAGCAAAGCAGTCGAGCCCCCTGCTAAGAAGCAGAGGGGTATCGGGGGCACTATCGGCCAGGATGCCCCCTTGGTGATCATAGAGGATCGCCCTTCTCCCGATCCCCCGGCTGATGCGGCGGCGACAACTTGGACCGATCTTCCCTTGGGAAGCCACCCCCGGGAAATTCTGCAGCTCTCCTTGGCCCCGGGGGCTTCTGTGCTACATGGCTCAGCAGAGCCGAAGGCCTTCCTGAGGGGGATCACCTCGGCAATGGACAAGGCTGCCCTCTCAACTTACGATGATGCGGCCCTTGAGAACAAGATCCTTCGATCTTCGTTAGCTGTAAGTTTCCTCCTTTGCTTCTGTGTTTAACCTTTAATGCATTTCTAATACTAATCTAACCCCTCCGCCTCTTGTTTATCAGGCTTGTGTAGCCCTCGGGGAGCACGCACAGAGGCTCGAGCAATGGTGCCTCCAGAAAGCGGAGCAGGATCGGGAGATGAGGGAGCTTATCTTGAAGAATTCTAACGCTGTGAAGCAGATGGCCTCGCTGGAGGAAGATCTCTGGAAGGCTGCCGAAGGCACTGAGCTGAAGGTCAAGGCTGCCGTGGAGGAGGCCAGGCTCGAGGCCGAGAGGGCTGCTAAGAAAGCCGCCGAGGAGGCAGAGCTTGCCAAGGCCGAGGCCGTCGCCAAAGCCCGAGAGGAAGCTGTTGCCGCATTCATGGCCGAGGGCTGGAAAACCGAAGATAGGCAGCAGTGGGTGGCCTCGGTCGTGGAGTCTTTGGTAGATGACTGGGTGAAGGGCCTCGGGGGCGACTGGATGGCGGAGAGGGGAGACAACTATTACCAGGGGGTGAATTCTTCACCCAGCATCTGGTGTACCGGAGGCTCGCCAGGCACTTCCAAGTCTCCCTCGAGGAGTTTGACCCCTCGGCGTATGACCTTCCTCCGTTGCAGCCAGATGTGAGAAACCCCCTCCCTCCGGGCGAAGAGAGGCCTGTGATCCACGACTCCATGATGATGGGGGGATCTGGTGATGGTGATGCCGAGGCTGTCGTCGGGGAGGAGGTCACCTCGAAGCCTGCCGAGGAGGCAAAAGCTGAATGAAACACTTGTACTTAGTAGCTTTTTGAACACCTTTTTTTGTTTGTAATGAATATTTGTATGCTCTCGGCCTCAGCCATATTGTAATATACACTTTAACTTTTCCATTCTTCTTATGAATGAATACCGGCCTTCGGGCTTTTTGCGTATAATTCGTTTCCTCCGATTGTTTTTTTTTTGAATGTATGCCCTCGTTTTTTTTTTGAATGTATGCCTTCGTCTTCCTTTGAATGCGTGTTAGGACTTAGGAAATATTTCTCTAAGTATAGTGTCTCCTGTAGCCTTCGGCTACTAGGCCGATTTAGTCATCTGCACATTTTGTCGAGGGCCTAACGTTCAGGACTTAGAAATGTTTCTAAGTGTTGTTCATCTGTTGGCCCCAGGCTAATTCCTTCCCTCTGGTTCAGTGTGGCCGTCATGAGATAACCGGAGGCGAGGTGCTTAGGACTCAGAAAAATATTTTCTAGGTGTTTGAATACCATCTAGCCTTCGGTACGTGGGTACCCTTCGATGCTTGGGTATATAACCGAGGGCTCAAAATATTTAGGACTTAGAAAATTTTTCTAATTGTAGCTTCACTAATCTTCAACCGTATGGCCCCTCTGGCTGCATGGAGATTTGACCGAGGGTCAAAATATGTAGGACTTAGAAAATATTTCTAAGTGTAGTTGTGTGAGGTAGGAGCCCTCGGGTGAAATGTGAGAGCTTTGTCGTAGGTGTACCCTCGGTTGAATGGTGACTCGTCAGAGGGCAGAGTACTCAGGACTTAGAATTTTTTTCTAAGTACTTCCTGTTGCTGGTCTTCAGACGGGGACCCTTCGGCTGTATACTTTGCAGTTTAGGACAGTTTACTTTGTCTTGCAAGGTTGGCCTGTGGTAAAAAAGCCTTTGGCTGTTCATTATGTCCCCCCCCCAATGTTGATTTAGGGTAGTTTGTAATCCAAGTCCATCATGAAAAGACAGACTCACTCGGACCTTGTCTGGGTGTGTCCCCTCGGCGTCTAGTGAGGTGCCGAAGGTGATTCTTGCTTTGATTTGGCCAACGTCTGATAGCTTTGTCATATAGTAGCCTTCGGGAACGTTTTGAGTTGTTGTTGGGTGAGCCTGTCATGGTTTATAGGATTTGAGCCTTCGGTTTTGATATAGCCGGAGGAAATCATGGGGTGGGCTCAGCCATTTGTTGACGATGTCTGTTGTGAATGGTATCTTTGGTACTTATGAGCTTCCAGGTACCGAAGGTGTTCCCGTGGGGAGCCCTCGGTATGTTTCCATGAATTGTTGGAGTGATGTACTCATTGATTTCTCGCTGAGTCTACTCCCCTTCACCACCCCATTTTTTTGGTAGTGAAGGGAAGGCTTCAAGAAACTTGGTTTCTTGGTAAGGCTTGGCCTATCGGGAGATAACAGAATACACCATTAGCTCCCCCCTCGGGTTAACCTTCCGAGTTCCGAGGGGATCGATGGTCGTTTCCTGGGTACAAGATATGGTGGTCTGTAGCTGCCTCCCCTTGGGGGATGGCACATAAAGTGCCTCTGTTTTGAATGTCGTCCCCTCGACGCTAGACATAGTATGTGGCCTGCCACACCCTTGGGGTAGTGGTGCGGGGAGCGTTTCGATTTGGAAGTCGAATCCTGGGCATTTTAGATGTCTGCCAATCCCTTGGGGAAATGACGCAGAAAGCGTTTTGTTTTTGAAAGTCGAATCCTGGGCATATTTCGTGCTTGTCATACCCTTGGGGTAGTGACGCGGAAAGCGTTTCAGGGAAGGGTTTTCATTTGCACGCTGGTTGCAAATGGCTGGGGGCACTACGTGCTGTCGGCACCGATAGGTGGCGCCTTCGGTATAGGCGTCCTCGAGGGGTACGACTTTAGAAACAACACTTGGTGTTTGTTCCGATGTACGTCCCCCGGCACTTGGTACCGATGGGTCTTCTGTGGAAATACTTGGTGTTTTTATTTGTCGTAGGTGATCGTGTTGTCTACCCTCGATACTTGGTACCGAGGGGTCTTCTGTGAAAACACTTGGTGTTTTTTTCCATCTGTTGAAAGTTGATAGTGGTGTATCCCCCCCGGCACTGGGTGCCGAGGGATCTTCTATAGGAACACTTGGTGTTTTTTTCACGCCGTGGATGGCAGTATAGTATACCCTCGGCACTTGGTGCCGAGGGTTCTTCCTTGTAGGGGTCGATATGAGAGCTTGGCCGCTCATAAGAGTCTTGTTCCATGTTCTTGGTGTCTCCAATATGCCTTCATTCTTCAAAATTTCTAGGCCTTGGGCCGCAATATAATACATTCACTAGTTATGAGGGCTTGGCCGCTCTGATGTTATTGATAAAATCTAACTAAGTGATGTACATTCCAGTGTCTAGGGACTGCTGTCCCATTAGGGCGTTTTAGTTTGTAAGTTCCAGGTTTGATGATGGCTGCCACGATGTAGGGGCCCTCGAACTTTGGTGCCATTTTCCCGCCCTCGGTCGGTTGGCTAGCTTCCCTTCTTCGGAGGACATAATCCCCCACTTGGAATTCCCGGGAGCGGACCTTGGCGTCAATGTAACTCTTCACTTGCCTTCAGTAGTTTTCTGCGCGTATGAAGGCTTGCTCTCGGCATTCTGAAATAAGGTGGAGGTCGAGGGCCATATTGGCGTCGTTGGCCTCTGGATCATACTGTGTGACCCTTCGGGTTGGAAGAGTTACCTCAGTGGGGGCCTTAGCTTCAAATCCGTAGCAAAGGGAGAAGGTTGTCTCGCCAGTTGCCCGCCGAGGGGTGGTACGGTAGGCCCATAAGATGTTGTGGAGCTCTTCTACCCAACCGCCCCCTTCGGCCTCCAGTTTCTTCTTTAGGCCTTCGAGCAATGTCCTGTTGGCGTTCTCCACTTGACCGTTGCCCTAAGGGTAGGCGACTGATGAGAATGTGTGTTTGATGCCCCATGCCTCCAGGAGGGCACAGAAGGGGGCTGCCTCGAACTGAGTCCCGTTGTCGGAGATGATTTGCTGGGGGACGCCAAACTTTGTGAGGATGTTTTTTAGAACAAAATGACGGCACCTGGCCTCAGTAATGCTGGCGAGGGGATCAGCTTCCACCCATTTGGTGAAGTAATCAATGGCGACGATGATGTACCTGTTGTTGGAGGTACCCCTCGGCAGAGGGCCCACAAGGTCTATGCCCCATCGAGCGAAGGGTATGGATGTGCTGATGGGGGCATAGTTGACCGCTGGCCTGCCGGGGGCTTTCTGGAAGTGTTGGCATGCGGAACACCTTCGGGCGAGATATGCACAATCTCGGGCCATCGTAAGACAGAAGTAGCCGTGGATTATTAGCCTTCGGGACATGGAGAAGGGTCCCTGGTGAGCTGAACAAGTGCCAATGTACACTTCCTCCATCGCCACTTCGGCTTCATCCTGATGAAGGCACCGAAGTAATGTCCCGTTGTAGGACCTTTTATAAAGCCTTCCGTCTTCGATAGCGTAGCTGGGAGCCCTCAGCTTTGCTAGCTTGGCGCGGGCCTCATCCTCGGGCAGTTGCCCTGTGGTGATGAAGGCGACAATGTCTGAGATCCAGTCATCCTGCCTTTGTTGTATGTTCATGACGGGGCTAGCATGTATACTAGAGAGACTGAGCTCTTCTACTTTGGCAATCTTTGAGATGTGCTCAGGGGGTTCGGCCGAGAGCTTGGATAAAATGTCGGCCTCGGAGTTCTGAGCCCTAGGTATTTGAGTAAGAGAGTGTGCCTCAAATACCTTAAGCAACTCCTTGGCCGCCTCCTTGTATTGCTTCATTCTCCCTTCCTTGGCTTCGTACTCCCCGGAAATTTGGCCGACAACTAATTTGGAGTCGCATTTGACGTGGATCTGTCGGGCCTTCATGTTGGCTGCGAGCCGAAGGCCACAGAGGAGGGCCTCAAATTCGGCTTCATTGTTAGAGACTTTGAAGGAGAAGCGGACTGCATAATAGGCCCGGAATCCTTCGGGTGAGATGAGAACCATCCCTCCTCCACATGCCTTGACGGCGGAGGAGCCGTCGGTGTAGAGGGTTCACCAATCATCCGAAGGAGCCGAGGGCTCCTCGTCCGTGTCTGACCTTGTCGTACATTCCATCACAAAGTCCGCTAGGGCTTGGAACTTGATGGCGGGCCTAGGACGGATGTCGATGTTGTATTGGCTCAAGAAGACAGCCCATTTTACCATTCGGGAGGAGCTGGTGGGGCTCCTCATCAAAGTGCCGAGGGGTTGGTGAGTGAGGACCTGGACCGGGTGAGCTTGGAAGTAATGGCCCAACTTCTTGACGGTCCACACGATAGCCAACACCGTTTTTTCCACGGGGGAGTACCAGAGTTCTGCTTCCCTGAGGGTCTTGCTAATATAGAAGATGGCATGTTGGATGTCATCCTCCTCCCGGATGAGTACTGAGCTGATGGTTGCCGGGCTAACACCCAGGTAAAGGTATAGGATCTCCCCCACCTTCGGTTTAGAGAGCACAAGGGGCGAAGATAAGTATCATTTCAGTTCCTCGAAGGCCCCCTGACACTCTAAAGTCCACTGGAAACCGGTAGTTTTCCTCATGATCTGGAAGAAGGGTAAGGACTTCTCCGCCGATTTTGATAGGAAGCGATTGAGGGCTGCCAGGCGGCCCGTCAACCGCTGGACCTCCTTTACGTTGCGTGGGGGCTCCATGTTGATGATGGCCTGGATCTTCTCAGGGTTTGCCTCGACACCCCTTCGGCTTACCATGTAGCCCAAGAATTTACCCCCTTGAACGCCGAAGGTACACTTCTTCGGGTTTAGCCGAAGGTTGAATTTCTGCATGATGGTGAAGATCTCCCTCAGGTCGTCATCATGGTTTGTTGATTGCTTGCTTTTTACGATCATGTCTTCAACATATGCCTCCATGGTGCGCCCTAGGACAGCTTGAAATACCGTGGCCACCATCCGAGTTTAGGTGGCGCCTGAGTTCTTTAGGCCGAAGGCCATGACAAGGTAGCAGAAGATGCCCTCGGGAGTCATGAAGGCTGTTTTTCAGCTTCTTCCTCATGCATAAATATTTGATGATATCCACGGAATGCGTCGAGGAATGACATG